TGTAACCAAGCACAAATTAACTTGGAACTCTTGTTGTGGAAGAACTGCCCCTCCCCACCCCCCCGCAAAAAAAAAAAAAAAAAAAAAAAAAAAGGTTTTTTTATCTGTGAAGGATTTCCTTTCTTACCTTAGTGAAGGTGTTTCCAAATACTCCTCTTCATTGAGGTGGTTTTCTTCTAACCTTTGGAATATGGCAGGGTTATCACCTAGAATTACATTCTTATGCTCCCTTAATTATGTATATCTTTTCCTTAACAAACCTTAAAAAAAGATTTCAGATGTTACAAGTCTAATTAAAGAGACAGACAAAGCACAGTTTATACTGTAGATTTTTTCTGCAGTTCAATTAATCAGCATGTTTTCTCTTTTAATTAAAACCATTTTAGTAAATTAAAGCCCACAGCAAAACACATATATAATTTGTTTGTAATTAGCTCTTAATTGGTGGTAGTTGAAGCTTAGCACCCTTGGTTTCTTTCTTCATGATTGCCATTTTATTAGCAGCCAGTCATTAATTAATCTTTTTTTCTAATTAGCTTATAAAACTGTTGATGGCACATTATTGTAAATGTGATTTTAAGTTCAAAGCTTGTTAATAAGCTTTCTTACTTAGAAGAACAGAGATAAAGAAATTGCTGAAAACAGTACTACAGTTCTTTTTTTAAAACTGCCTTTGTTATAAGGGGGCTCTGTAAAGCATCTAACAGCTTATGGTTAATTTTTTAATGCTGTGTTTTCTCGTGAATGGAGGAAGTTACTTGCATTTAAATGTTGAAGTCTAGCAAAGAGCTTAATATTAGAACAGTTTTCTGTCCTTTTTCCATTACTGTGTCATCCAAATATAATGTGATGTTGTAATACACAGCATAAAAATACAACAAAGGTATTACAAAGTATTTTAAAGGGGAAGTTGAGCACATCATTGAAAGGGGACAATTTTCACTGCAAAATCCACTCGGTATTCTTGTTTGCTTTATATATTTTATATACGTCAGCAATGGATAACATTCCATAACATAAAAGGAGAAAATCATTGCTAGAGGCAAGCCTGAAATAACTAGATTCATATTTGATGAGAAACTGTAACACTATATTAAAAGGCTGTTTGGCTTCTCTGCTATGATCATAGGATATTTCAGGACCTGTTTGAATATAGATGTTTTGTGGGAGCTTTTGTAGGTTTAATATTTGGTATTTCATACCTCAGTATTTCTGGAGCAGTTCTTGATTCCGTTGTCTCGTATTGTTCAGCATTTACGTTTTACAGTCCTATCTTAAAGACAAGTCTTTGCTTTGTGATATTTAATGTTAAATGTCCTGATTTGCAGGGAAGTTTTCTGGAAGTTACAGTAGATTCAGTTGCAACTTAATGAAAATGTTTACTCTTCTGCCTGAACTTTACATTCTATTTCAACTTCAGCCATTTCTTTGCTTGTTTTAAAAGTGTTTTATGATGCTATGCAAGAAACACTAGAAAGGGATAGCTGACAAGGAAAAAATTAAAAATTGGATAAAAAGTAAATGAATAATGTCATATTACTAAAAAGATGAGAGGCTAATTTGTGCCGACTTTTTGCTAATTTTGTTCAAGCCTCAAAATGAGGAGCTGTCACCCGTTCTGTGTAGCACTGATGACAGTGCCAATGATCCATGAAATAAGCTGCCGCTGGCTTTGTTCTGATAAGAATGAACAAATCTGCACAATGTACGGCTCCCAGAATCTCATTTTCATACTTGCATGCAGGCTAAAAGAAATAAGCTGTTTGCAGGCTTGATTAATCAGACATTTGAGGGTTTTTTGTCTCTTTGATCTCTTTCGTCTCCTAGGTAACTTGCTTGACATTAATGTTGAGCTTGAGTAAAGACAATCAGGAATTGTAGACCAAACTGATATAAAAATTAAAGACCTTAACACTTTAAGTACTCCAGTAATGGTTCCGCTTTACTTCAGAAAACATCTGTTTTCATTTAATTAAAGAACAAAAGAGAATGGCATAAATATTTTTCGTAGAGACCTGTTATTCCATAAAAAGTTAAAGTATGATAATTGGTATTTTTAAATAAATGCCTTGAAAGTGTTCAAAAAGAAGCAAAGCTTCAGATATTTGTTACAAGGTAACAATTTCAGATGAGTATGAAATTTTCATTTATGCTACATTAAACATCTAGAGTAAGATATTTGACATGATTATTGGTCAACTTCAAAATGGAAAGGGCTTTGCCCTGTCGAAACTAAGTTGTTTTTCAAGTTTGTCACAAAATACAAATATATATAGTGTTACAAGGATGAACCATTATATCAGCTTTACTACCCAGTATGATTTACACACTTTAAACCTGTAAAATTGAAAGGAATTTAAAAAAAAAATGTCGCAGTGCGTTTGCTTGAGGTTATGCAGACGCTTTTACAAATCTTCCAAGTGGCTGTAAAGATGAATGCCTCAAGGGTCTAGCCAGGGCCCTGCTTTTCCAACCAGCTAAAGCCCTTATCTTAAATCCAAGCAAAGTACCATTAATCTTTTTGAAAGACCTTTTATGGCTTTTAATATATCCCAAATTAGAACATTTTACACCCTTGGTTCCTGAAATATGGTGATAAAAAGCCTTTAGAGCTTAATTTTCCTTACTGCGTGCTCTGACCAATTTGCAGTTCTTTGTGATAATGTTTAGACACCTTAATTAAAATGCAGCAAAATATTGGATGTTCTATATGGAAAATGCTGATACTTTGACTACACAAGAAATTGTTGTATATATTTTTATTCATGCTTTCTTACTTCTTTTAAGATTGTATTTTATTGAGTTATCTGATGACCTGAAATGTTAGTATGTTTTTTTTATTTTTTAATGTAAAATCCCTTGACCAAGCTTTTATGGATTTCTTCTGGGAGCGAGCAGGGACTGAAGATGCATGTCTGGGTTTGGGTGGGAGCAGAAGACATTTAATCTGACTAAAATGTTTGTGTGTGTTTATATGCAACATTTGTTTTCATATCTTGAAAATTTGACTCTATGTAGCCTAGAAACTGTAACAATGCTGCAAAATGCTTCTGCTTTTGCTTGCACATACACTGCAGAGGATCTTATTATCCCATTTTTTTCTGCACTTTTCAAAGATGGAAGAACTCATTCTGTCTTCCAAAAAAATGCAGATGAAAAGGTTTTTCTGCAGCACTTGTTTAGAGCACACCTGTGTATATTTGTGTGTGTGCAAGTGCTCAATAAACCACTAGAATATATTTTAAGGAGATTCTGTTATTCCTCACACAATAAAAGTTAATTTTCAAGTGTGTTAGGAGGTAAAATACCTCTAATAAAGGCATGGTTCTGCTGACTGACTTCAGCCATTGGTTTGCTCTGTTGTTTAAATTAATAATTACTACTGTTTCAATTTAAAAGTAAACATTTTTTGAGTATTTTAGGTGAGTTTTCTTAAGCATTTTTATTGCAATTATATTAAGGTTAATAGCTGCCCTTAAATATTAAGTGACAATGCAAATAAAAGAATGTTATGTTTTAGTCTTTGACCTGAAATTTAGCAGTTCAGATGAATTACTGTTAATAAAAAATGTTAATGCTCAGGGGAAAATTACATAGATAATATAAAAGTTTTGAAGTAGCTGGTCACAGTATTTTGTTAAACTGTTAGGCTCAGCTCCTAACTGCTTGTGCTGCCAGCATTTAGAGCCTCAAACAAAGCACAAGCTGAGTTGTGCTTGCTGCCTTTCCTTAAAGGCTGCTTTCTTCATTCTTGAAGTCTGAGAAGACCATAAGGTAGAATGTCTTGTAGTCATGCTGGTTTGGGTTTTTTAGGTTTTTTTTTTGCTTTGTTAACAAAATGATCACCTACCTATTGTGTGTTTGATGGGATAATTGTGGAAAATGTGTCAGTGCATCTACACGTGCAGATGTGTTCTTGAGTTCTTTCTCATCTTACCTGCATAAAGCATTTCCCAGAATAAATATTTGTCTGTATAGATGGTGTACATTATTCATTTATATTAGCATTAATAGTGGAACTTCAGCCAAGGTGTTAAAGAGTATTCTTTCCCTTGTGTCTCCTGTTCTTTGATGCTCCCATGCCATTTTGGGGGGCACTTAGAATATGCACTCAGAAACTGTTTGCTAATTTCAAGAGGTTTTGGTGTGAGTTGTAAGAAAACCCGTTTGCCCACATCAGTTTGTAGCAATTTGAGGTAAATGAGTTGCATGTTTGTCTTGGAGAACAGCAGAACTTCGGAGAACAAATTCTTTAACAACTCATCATGTCAAGTTAAGGCAGCAACCATGAAATGCAGCTACAAGTTACAAATGCTGATAAGGGAAATAAACTGCTCATAGTTCACTGTATCTTCTTCCATCTTTTTTGCTTTACTCTTCCCTGCCTTTCACTCCTGCACTTGACATTCGCTAAAGTGAATTTAATTCTCACAGTTTGCATCAGTTTATGGAAGTGGTACTCACCTACATGGAAAGCTGGCATATTGCACCCTTGCTATCTAAAATCTTACAATGTGGAGATAAACACGAAGGATACTGCATCTTTTATTGTTGGACAGACTGATTAAACTGAAAAATGTGTAATGGTAGCAGCTCTTCCTGTAGAAAAATGTACTTTTGGGTGGATTTTGGACCTGATTCTATTGTGTTAGCATAGCTGAAGTCACAGACTGGTACGAAAAATGGAGACTGTGTATTTGGATATGTTTGTCTATATAAAACAAACAAAAGGATCCAGTGAGCTGTTACTCTTGCTTTTGGTTTTAAAAATGAAGGATTTAGTGAAAAGGATTGCTTGCCCCAGGGTCCTACACTTTTTTGTTTCCCTCAAGAGACGTTTGTCCAGTCTAATAGTCCATCATCAGCCTAATATTTGAAAGATATTTTAGTATCTATTGACTTTTGAGAAACAATATCAGACCAAGTAATTTGTGAGGCTTAAATTTCATATGAGCCATTTGCATCTAATCAGTTTTCCTTTGTTCCTTTTCATGTCTTAGCTTGGTGTGAAAATTGCCAAAGCTGCCGCTTGCCGCAACTTTGTAAAAGCCAAGCAAGAAGCAGAGGCTGCCCAAGAAGCTCAAAAGAAAAAGAAGCTTGCTTGGGGGTAAGTCATTTGAGTATGGAATTAAACATTTGTGGTTTCATTGGCACTAAGTGGGTACAATACAATCTCAGTTAAATGTTTTTTTAGTTGAAATAGGCTTGTGCTAATCTTATTTGTTTAGTTTAACCTTGCTGGGTTTTGGTGGGCTTTTTAGGAGTGTATCAGACTTAAGTACAGAGGCTTTATCAGAAAGAAAGTGGTGGTTGTATGGCTATATTTGTCTTCATGTCTTTATAACAGTATTAAAAATAAGTTATTTTTATAGTTGTTAAGAATAATATGATTAAATACCTGAAACACATAGCCGCATCATTCCTAATGTGAGTTTTGTGTTCCATTTCAGATTTGAAGCCAAGAAAAGATGGGAAACAAAAAGCAACATGGGATACATGTAGCCCATCCTATTTTCCTCAGGAGTCAAATACCTGTTGTTACTTGAAGAATTTTGGTGGACAATTTATTAAATCTAAACATAAACCCCCCAAAACAAAACACATCAAATGCCTGGTATTTATCCTAATGCTTTTAAACTGCACTACCTTGTTTTGTCACTGTCTTATAAATAATACAGAAAAAATACAATCTGAACGTCAGTACTGTGTTAAATTTTCCTCCTGGATATGAAACCTAAAGATAATGCATTTCAGGTTGAATTTGGAGTCTGGTAGAGAATTCTCTGAAGTCGAAATAAAATCTTTGGTCCAAATGTGTTTTGTGCTGTACTGCAATTATAATGTGTGGGCATAAGGAGAGAGGGGTGTGTTGCTTCTGATGCTACATAGACTTAATGCAGTGTTTTCTGCTTGTAAATTGGGGGAAGACACTAAATAAAGAGCAAACCCAACTTATCTTTTTGAAACCAAGGATATTTATAGCCTTAATAAATATAAACACACACACAAAAAAAAAGCCTAAAAGTCATGGAAGGATCTAGTACTATTGGTCATATCCTGGTTCTTCATAATATTTCAGATTGCCAGTTTTCTTTCCTTCCTAATAACACAGGTTTTAAAAGTCCCAGATAAAAATATATAAATACATATCTTGGAAAAATATCTGAACTGTTACGTTGTAAAGTTAACTGCACCCAAGATACAAATGTAGATTTTACTCCAAGTCAAATGTTTTACAGATCAATTATGATTTGAATGTTTATGTTATAAGATTATAACAAGAATTGATGATAATATTTCTTCAAAATTATTCTCAGTGAAAAGTAAGTACACATTCAAAACTAATAACTTTCTTCCCTGAAGCTCTTGCATATATGTTTAGTTACCACAATGCCTGAATTGAATTGGTAATGTAAATGTCAGTTATTGTTAACCAAGATTAATATGTTTCAGGCCAAAGGTATGGTATTAGTGTAATGGTGATTTACTGTGTAAGTACTTGGGGCTAAAACAACTTGCCAACAAATAGCAATTTGAAGTTTTACGGCAGCAATTCGAAGAGTTCAGGTTTGCAGTCCAAGATGGAATAGTGCATTTTTGTTCATTAGCCCTTAGGATATTTGATTCTTTTTTTTTAAATCGTATTTCTTTCGCACAGATGAGAGTTTGCAATATGGTAATCTGCAGTTAGCTGTAATTAGTTATGATGACAGAGTTGAATACAATTGCCAGGATTGTAAATTAGGGGCTGATTTGGTTTCTGCAATATAACATCATAAATCTCACACTATGGTTTACAAACTACTTTGCTTTGCAAACTTTTGTGTGGAAGGAAGCAAGTGCTATCTCTAGTGAAGTGATTGTAAAGGTGAATTGCATGTTTGCACGTGTATACACACAGGTTACACCATGACCCTACATCAGGATCTTTCCGTTCCAAATGTTCCTGTCCAGAAGTTACAGGCAATTGGTCCATAATTGCTGTGGGTTTTCTTAAGGATCTGAAAGATGGGTTAGATACAGTTGACCTTTGTTATGTACTGAAAAATAGAATGATAATTAATGCCAAACACACCAGCAGCATTCCATTAAACTTTTTAAAGTATCATTTATTAAATAAGCTATTTTCTCTTTTGCAGTAATTGCTCTTAAGATTAACAGTATTTGTCAAATCAAGATCGTGATCTAATTTCAAGGATCAGTGTTCTTTTTTTTGAAAATGTGCTTTAACAGAAACCCAAGCCCTCAAAAAACAGCTATTGCCCAGCTACCTGTAATATTTTAGATTAAATCAATTAGTTTTATGTTAGGCCATTCAAAATGGAACTGTTTAGGTAGTATGCAGAATATTTGCATCGGGTCACTTGTGTGATTAATTTAAAAATGACCACATTTCAAACCTTTTTATCCACCTAAAATGTTTGCTTAAAATATTAGTTGATTTCCACATTCCAAAATCTCTTAACAGGGAAAATACAAAGGCTTAATACAGCTTTATAGAGTTAATATAAATACATAAGAAATAGATTAATAGAGAACTGTATCTTTAATAATCTTCCTAAATTGCTGGTCTGTTTTTAAATGTCTTGCATTGTGCTGGCACCTCTTTTTTTTTTGAGTTGTTTTGATCTGTGATGTAAATTTTGTCCAAGCAAGTAGAAGTGTATTCTGAGACTTAATGTTTCCTGTTTAACAGTGTTAAACCAATCCAAATGCTTGTTTTAGTTAACTGAAAGTTTTTTAATCAGCTTAAATATACAACTTCTTACACTGATCTAAATTTGAGATGTAATAATAATTCTTTTAGCAGATGAAAAGTTTGCACTATCTCCTTGTTTAACTGAAATTACTGATCTAGAGAAATGTACTTAAATTATAAGTATCAGTACCAATCTGTTGTGATGCCAGATATTTATTAAAAGTTCATTTGATGCTATCTTGAGTTGGGCAACAGTTCAAAAGCAGCCCTCCCAAAATGCTTCCTCCCTCTGAGAAGTCCTGAAAAACATAAATGCATGCACTGCTTTTACCCCAGTTTTTTTCCTCTACCACAGTTTTACCCAACATCAGTCATGGTACTCTCTTGGATATCCTGAATAGCCTTAAGTATTTTGAGGGGAAAAATTGTGTAGCTTCCCAAGTGTGGCTGTTTGGAGTAAACCAAGTACCTGGAAAGTAGACTGTGCTCTCACAATTTCTGTGTGAGAAATCGTTGTTTGAGCAGGGCTGTCTCTGGAGCATCCTGGCCTGCTCCAGCCTCGCTGTGTTGTGGGCCAGGCTTTGTCAGTCTGGCCTCTGAGCTGGGCTTGTCACCCAGCTGCTGTGCCAGGCTGAGGCCTTTGCTTTGGGGTTTTCAGCAGCCCTGACCGTGTCGGGTTGGGTGGCTCTGCACCATGTCACTGAGCAGTGTTGGTGCTCCTTGACCACTTCTCAGGGTGCCATGTCTTCCTTTCTGCTCCCATCTCATATGCTTGCAGTACTGTTGTGTTTTAAGGCCTACACAAGAAATTCTTTTATCAGCTCCTGTGATAAAATACAGTCAGTTTGAAGTTTGACAACAGCATACTAATACAATTACTTGTGTTTCTTAATGCTGCATTCCTGAGCTCCTTAACCAAAGAGTGGCTGCAGGGACAGTTTGACAGATAAAAACATATATATAGTTGTTAGAGTTTTAATAGTTTTTTGCCTGCAACCATAATCTGTATCATTATTTTTTTTAGTTTAATTCTGTTGGACAAGTTTCAAAGATAAATGTGGTGTGTAATAAGTCTTTGCAGCCTCTAATTTGTGAAGGAGTGTCTGTCCAGTTAATACTTGCTCATTGAAGCAAGGGGTTTTGAAATAGCTGAAGTACGAACTGTAATTACTGATGTCTGTTTCCTATTCACCTATGGCTTCTGGCATTTGATCAAAAACTGTAATGTATTGCTTAATCTCAAAGCATTCCCCACTTTCAAAAATATTTACCTCATGAGAATTGCACAGCACTAAATGACCTTAGCAAAACCAGAATAGATTTTTATTTGGCATTGATCATATGTAGCTAATCCACCAACAAGTATTTTTCCTGTTATTTTTGAGCGTTGGTAATTTAGGTACAGATGTGCCTGTAGTGTACCTTTAGTGCAAGCTCAAAGCATCTTAAAAAGTATTAAATTTATTAATAATAGGGTGGGATTTTTACTTCACAAATGGGGTGGCTAAAAAGAGAGGTACAAAGGTTGAGCAATTCATGTGAGGGCAAACTCCTGGCTGGCAGCAAAGTGGCAAGTGGAAGGAATCTCCTGGTTTGCTGTTTTGTCAAAGCTGAGAATAACACAGAAAAACCAGTCTTGAACAATTTTGTGGCAGGTGCCTAATCCTCTTTGAAAGTCATTGGGAATTGGGCACCTCATTACCATCTCTCCTACCGAGAGAGTAAAAGAGCTGCAATACTGAATGCAGATGTTCTGAGCGTCGCAAGAGTAAGTAAAAGCCCAAATTTCATTTGAGAAAAGTTGTCATCTTTCGTGTTGAAAAATGCCTGCATTGCTTTGATCTGTCTCCAGCTGTGTTTATTTCACCATCAAATCTTGTCTTCCCAGTTTCTGTGGGATTGTCACAGAGTTGAGAGGCTTCTATTTCTTTACTTGTAATTGGACCTGGAATAAAACATTTTGTCCTGAAAAAGTCATAGGAGCTAAACAGACACCGAAGACATAAAAACAGCCAGCTTTATAAAAGGAGTTCTACCTATTTTACATGTGATTGTGCTTGCCATGCTTGTTCTCTGATATTGAATCATCATCCTGACTTAAATAATATGTTCATTTCTCTTGGAGTTTCCCAGGTGTGCTGGCTGCCTGACTCACAGATGGAAATTACTTCAGGCTGGCATGAAGTGACCACAGATTGAAATGAGCATTTGTATTTCCATGTTACGTGTCCTAATGAGTCAGCCTTTGGCAGCTTTTGCTGTAACTGAGGAAAAAAGATACAAGAGAAAAGCTAGATACAGAAATAAGGGTTTTTACCCAAATGAGAACTGACTGCTTTCTGGTAGCCATAGAGGGAGTTTTGTTCATCCTGTTTTTCACAGCCTCTCTGAAGTGAACAATACATTCATGTAACCCAAACAGCAAGTTCAGATGTCAAGCAAAGTGTAATGCTGCCTGTGGACTCTCTTAGCTGGGTAGTGTTTATGGTATTTTAAGGATTTCTCTGTGGACAGGTGGTTGCTAACCTTGTCAGATCTTTAATGCTAAAATACCAGTTGGCCTCTACTGGTACAGACCAGTATTAATTCCAAACTAGTAGTGCCTGAATTTACCAGTACTGCTCAAAAAGAAAAAGAATCTGCATCTTCACTTATTACTCTGATTCTGTCTAATCATCTGCAACTGTGATGAAAAATCATTGCATTCTTTTGTGAATTGAGAAGATTCGCAGCATACCCAAGGATCACTGAGATTGTTTTAGCATTGATTCCTCTTCTGTGGAACTTACAAAAATGTATTTTCCACAATTATATTTGAAGTATGTGACCAGCTCCTCAAACTGCACTGTAATAGCACAGGATTGTAAGAAAGCCCTGAGTAAAACTAGGTGTAATGTGCTGCTATAAAGTGTAAACATGCAAAGAACATCAGAAAGTTGACGTATCGCATGATTCAGCTTCTAATTACCATCAAACAATGGAGGATGGAGCTTTTAGTTTTTGCAAGTTAACGAAGAGAATGTGAAAGCAGCCTGCTAGCAAGAGCTGTCCTCTCTGTTATCTGCTGGAGGAGTACACAAGCTGCAAAGGGGGAGAGTCAGCCAAACGGGCATTTCCAATTTGAATACTTTCTCTTTTTAGAAATACGTTTATAAAATGTCCTCTACTCTCAGCACAGCAATGCCAGGGGCCTTTCTTGCAGAAATACATCACAGAATGCTCTTACTTAAGAATTACTGCCTTTGCTTCTCTTGCTGTGTTTGTTTGGGTTTTTTTTGTTTAACAAACAACACTTTAAAATATGCTTAGCTTTAGGTCACTTTAATTTTTAAAGATCAGCTCAGGGAAGGGATTTGAGTGCACTTTGTTAAGCAACAGCATGTTTTTCCCAGCTCTGTGGGGCTGCTGTTTCATGCCATACTTTTAGCAGCTTTTTAAAGATCAGTGTCACCTCTCACAGGTTGGTGTGCTCTGCTTGCCCCGGGGTCAGGCCTCAAGGTTAGCTGTCAGGTGTGTTTGAGCAGTTGTTGCTTCCTTTCCAACCTCTTCTTCCTAAAGTGTCTTTTTTTAAAGCAGTCCTTTTTCAGTGATCTCGTTTAGAATGTGCATCCACAAATAATTGCACAGAGCTTACTGGGGGAGTGGTAGAGAATGGATTGAGGAGTGAGAGCAAAAGGATGAGATTCCTGTGGAACAGGGAGGGAAAAATGTCTTATACTGGTATTATCTCAGGTCATACTGTACTCTGAGGGCCCTGTGCTCAGTTTTAATCTCACAGCATTCCCCCTGAAGTCACCTTCATTGTTTTGGACAGCTGATGATAATGCTGGACATTGTTGTTGTTAAATATAATTATGGATTTGAAGCGTAGAATTATCTGATGTAATTAATTTTCTGATTCAATCAAAAAGCCTTAGCTCTAGGAATATACTTCCAGATTCTTTTATGATGGAAGTGGCATAATTTAGCCACAGAATAATCTCTGGGGATCATATTCTGCTGCCCTCAATCAAGGAGAGCCTTTACTCCAAAACTTGTCAAACTGGAACAAATAAGGGTGACAAAATTTGTATGAAAACAAAGGACTGGAGACATGGGCCTGCATTTGCTATGGGGAGTGGATATTATCTATTTCAGTGCTGACTGTAAGGAGGGTGTGTAAATCTTTAAAATCTGAATGCAACTGTTAGGTGGAGAAAATTAAGCAGGCAGTGTTGTACTTGGTGCTGCTGAACAATCTGGCACTCAAATGCTGACACAGCCTGTATAGAAAGAGCTCTCTTGTGTTTTAACTGCCTGCAGGTGCCTGAGCTCTTCTCCTGCATTAATTTTCAGTGGTCCCAGCGCTGCATGTTGTTAGAGTTCTAGCAGGTGTTTACAAAGCCTCAAAATGAGATTCCCAGTGGATTTAAGGGGCTCCATCAAAAAATCTCAGTTCCTTAGCTCTGAAGTTTCTTGAATATTTGCTTTCTCACAGTCTTGAGGAAGCTGAAGGGGAATGGCTCCTGGAGAAAGGACCCTTGTGGGATGTCCAGGCTATTTCTTTGATGCAAGGAAAAGGGTATATGGAAGCAAGGGAAGGAGTGGGAGTAACTGAGATCAGAAAAGGCTGGAGGACCAGAGATAAAGGCAAATGTCTTGTGGAAACTCTTCCATCTCCACTGATGTCAATACTGAGAGTTTGTTTAAAAAAAAGAAAAAAGAAAAAAGAAAAAAAGCTTGGTTTCTACAAGTTGAGGGTGCATAACTTGTATTATTTAGGTACAGGGCAGTATTAAACACCTTGCCCAAGGATCACACTTCAGTGTGTGATCTCTGTCAAATTCAACACAACTGCTGCTTCCATAACAAAAATAAAAGAGCTTCCTAGAAATGTTTTTTTGTTGTTCAATGAGAGCTTATCACAGCTGACACATCCCTTTTGTTACTGTCACATTTGATAACCAGATGACTGCTACCTGAACCTTACCATTCACCACTGTCGCCACTGTAGAGAGACTGGTAAGAGCTGGAAAAACTCCCAGACAGATCTTGTAGGACACATTTTTGGTGTCAACTGGAGAGCATGCACCTTCATCAGCAGAGTCCCTTAATTTAGAAGGAGGAAGTTCATGGATTATGCCAAATTTTCAGGTCATCAGTGTAATCTAGTGAGAACATTTCTGTAAATGTCTCCCTGTGGTCATACAATATGGAAAATAAAGCTGTAGCATAACCTCGTGCCTGAGCTCCCTCTG